TTTTGTATCTGTATTATGTTTATTCGCATTTTTAGAAATTTTTTTATTTATTTATTTTTTATAGATGTATGTTTATAATTTATATATTACCAGATTTCTTATATTAAACAATATTTTTAAGTCCATATTCCCTCCCCGAAGATATTTTTAAATCTATCTAAAATATCTTTCCATTTTACAAAGATTCTTACCAGAAGATCATCTCATTTTGTATATAATTCTACTTTAACTAATCTTCAGTCTATAAGCATATTATTAGCATTTTTATTCTATGCTCAATTATTTTATTTTTTATTTTTTGTTATTTCTCAATCAATACTCAAATCAAACAGAACTTCAATTGGTGGTTGTGCTGCTGCTGCTGCTCCAACTCGAACTCCTATCGGCCTCTACAATTGGAGCGTTATTGGAAGTATCGCTGCAAGGTGCCGTTCTCATAGAGACGCTTCACGTCAGTGCCGCCGCCAATGAATTTGCCATTGATGAAGCAGCGTGGCACTGTGCGAGCACCAGTTAGCTCGCCAAGCACCGCCTGAATCTCATCGGCATCGCTGCGCAGGTCCAGCTCAACCAGGGTCATCTCCACGTTCAGCTTGCGGAACTGCTCCTTGGCCATGCTGCAGTAGGGGCAATAGGTCTTGCTGAAGATCACGACCTTGTTGTTGTTGATTGTGTCACGAACGAACTGTGCATGTGGGCTATCCATATTAACGTACATCATCGGCTTTTCCATAGAACTAACTATAGTTCCCATTTAACAATTCTGACCCGCTACCAATCGATCTCTGATCGATCTGTGGACCAATTTGTTTCTAGTTGAGAAAAATGAAATTTTGATTCGTAATTTTCAGACTATGCTAAATAATAGTAAAATGCCATACAGCACCGATTGCTATGATCAGAGATTAGATTATAATTTGGGTGATATATGTAAGTTTTGAGTTGAGCTTCAATTTATTTAAATTTCTGACATCAAATCTTAAAAATTTTGTATTTGATATAACTTGAAACTTTCTTTAAACACCCAGAAAACTATAATTTTTTTAACTCTTTTGCTTTTATGACTTCATCCTCAATCTGAATTATTAATCCTTTTAACAGTCACAGTTTTCAGATTCATGCATTTTTTAACTTCTTTTTTAGAGCAAACATCTTTTGCTTACCTTGCCGTTCTTCAGCAGAAAGAAGTCTCATCCATTTCCCAACAGACCTCTTTTCTCACTTTCACTACTTTGCGGAGTTAAAAACATCACACAAACATATCGTCTACTCCTAAAACTAAAACAAACATGAAGGTGAGAGAAGCTGCTTAAACATAGATACCCTGTAATGAGCTGAATGATGATGGAGTATATATAGATTGACCTATGAGTCGTAAATATCAGCTTGAGCAGATATAGATGATATTGCTGCCTTGTAGATTATGAAAGTAGTAATCTGTGGAAACTGTTCTCTTAAAAAATCCTAAATTCCATTAAAAAATATCTATAAAAAAACATCTCTCTTAACAAATTGACATCGAAATTATCCCTTAACTAGACTATAAACTACACTCCACTCCACTGATATACCCCATTTGGAGAGATTCTCTAATGGATATAGGAAACCGCAAAGCTAACAGCACTCAAGCGCGCACAACTAAAACCTGAGATTGCTGTAAAGCGACACTTTCTAATGAAGTAGGCGTTTACTTATTTATGCAAAGTCTGAACCTCAACTAATGGCGAAAACATCAAAGCGCATTTAGAAATTTTCGAGCCAAGCGAACTCCTCAATGGCCTGGCCATTAAATATTAAACAGCCACGGGGCAAAGTCATTTGAAGTGCAAACGGAAAATAATGCAATGAGTGAAAGGTGTAGTCGAAGTTGGAGCTGGAGCTGGAGCTGGAGCTGCACTAACTAAACGGCAGACATATGGGAGAGAAAATCCTTTTCATTAACGTGTCGCTTGTTGCTGACCTCCCGCCCTAGCCTGCACCTCCTCCAACCCGGGTGCTGCCAAAGTTCCGTGTAACAATGTAATTTATTGTGCGCACCTTTGTTTTCAGTCAACACGCTTTCAGCGCTCGGTAATAAAACAATTTCTCAACGTGTATGCAACCTTGTTGTCTGCACAAGTTGCCAGCGTTGCAGATCCTGGGTGTGCAACAATTTAGCACGGCAAATGGATTATTCCCGGAGTTGCTCATCCACTTGAGCACTGGCTCTGGCCAGGTGAGTCAAGTAGCGTTTTATGGCCGTCTTTTACGTACTCACCTATGCAAATATGCCTTGTAGTCTTTTGGTCAGGTAATTAAAAGCAAACTAAACGCATGCGACAAACTCATTTATCGCATGCTATAAAAGCTTCGCTCAGTTCCCTTGTGAGATTGCGCAGGCTTCACTTCCAGAGCCATCGCTCTCTATCTCTCTCTCTCTATCTCTCTCACGCTCTCTCCGTAGCAGCTGTTTGATTGTCGGAAATTCTAAGTTGTTGTCTTTAATTGTTTTGGGAAATTTACTTACAATCATTTTAAATTGTTCGCGGTTTTTCCCAAGGATTAGTACTTAATTTGATTAGGCCCAACCAATGGCTGGCGTATTTTTATAGCCGCATTGTTGATTTTTCAGTTCGTTTGAGGCGAGGCATTCAAATTTCATTGTGCCACTTTTGCCCACACAATTGCAGGACAATAACTATTATTTGCCCAATTAAACTCCAAATGGCATTGGCATAAAATTTTAGGCTTTAGCACTCTCAAACATTTTGCGTAATAGATTGTGAAATCAGATTGTACGGCTGGCTGCTTGCTTGAAATATGTTTATATATATTTTGCTGTGTTTAAATTATATATATGTATGCGTTTTTGTTGGGATAATGAAAAGCTGAATATTTTAAATATTCAAATATTTTGATTTATAATGGATATTTGGTCAAATAAATATTGATATATAGCTGAGTTAAGAGGCTTTCAGCAGAATTTTCAAAGTACTGAAGAGGTGTGAAATCGTTAAAGGCATCAAAAAATGTTTTCTTTTCCCATATGTTGACTCAATTAGCTGTTAGATAAAGACAATTTACAGAGTTTTTAAAAGATGTAAATGATTTGAAGGCTTTTCTTTCTTGTTAGCTGACTCCATTCTTATCCCTTAGTTAAAGGCCTAATGAATACACAATTATTTACAGGTCACAAAATTATGATACTCTCAACTGAGACTGTATAACAATTTAGTATTTAAATACATTATATATATTATTATAAGTCAGATCTTAAAGTAACGAATAACATCCATTAATACTTGATTAGCTATAGCTCAACTGAGGATTATCCAAGATCTTAAAGTCTCTTACTGCTTACCCTCCCTCCCTATCTCCCTCCCTCTTTCCATTAGACTTCCTCCCTTAGGCACCATCTCTCACTTGGTTTCTCCTGCTCGCAACTGAACTCGATTAATTCGACATTTAAGCACTTGTGCGAGTCTTATCCAATCGAATGCTTTACTTTTGCATTGCCAATAGTATCTATATAGTATATATTCATCTATGTCAGCTATGGCAGCCCCACACAGTCAATTGTCCATTGAACTAATGGCAAGCAGTTAAGTTGGCTTTTAACGAGCCCGTTGCTCCAGCTCAACTACCTTTGTGATCCAACTGCTATTTATTTGCTCGAGCCATTGTTTAGCCCATTGGCTAATCGGCAACAATTTGTCTAAAGTACGTACTGCCAAATTAATATCCAATCATTAAGTCAACTATGCAAACTTCAATAGCGGGTGGAGAGCTAACGCTAACGCAATACTGACCTATAATATGGTGAGTCGGTCGACGCAAATTCCAAAGGAACACGCACTACAGCAAAAGGGTTGGCATTGCATGCCAGTAAACGTGGGTGATAGAGAGTGAGTTGGGTGAGTGAGCTGGGTGAGTGAGTGAATGACTGGAGCAGAGACTGGCTAATCATTAATATCGGTCAGGCGCAAGGGTTGCTGCCCATGGGGTGGCAAAAACAGTTCAGATTGTCGACAGCGTTGACTATCGACTTTCAGCCGCTCATTTCTTGGCTAATTGCGCGACGTCAAATGGCCCAGAAATGCGCCCTGGGTACTTTGAACTCTAGAATTGCCCACTTGCCGAGGCGCATTTCGTTACGGCTTAATTGATTAGCTTAATTTGCATTTAATGTTCATAATTTTTAAAATGCTCCCACAGCCTGCTGCTGCTTCTTATGATGCTACTGCGGCTGCTGCTGTGAAACTTTGTTATAAATTTCTTCATTAAATATTTTCATTCATGTGCCGCACTCACACACACACACACACACACACGCGTACACACCCTCGCGAAAAGGGTTTTCAAGACTGAAAGCGAAATTAAATGAACTGGCTGCGCTGTAATTATTCATGTGGGGATTTTCGTAACGGCTGCCTTCTGCTAAGCCAACCAGATAAATGCGAAGACATCGCTTCGTTGTCTCAGCCAGAAGGTAACTCTGAAAGCTATTTGCATAGTTCTTGGAAGTGCTGCCCCTTCACATAATAAGTCAGTGTGTAGGTAGTTTTTGACGCAGGTGCCTCATTTCAAAGAGTTGGGCTTAAGTCCCTGGAGCAAAGCAACATAGAAATATCTAAAATATTAATGTTAGTTACTCTCTCTCTCTCTCCCTCTCTGTCAGCACTAAAACTATATAAAATTCTCTTTCTCTAACAATCGTATCTTTTCTAAATAAAGGAACCTCTACTATAGCTTCTCATTTGCATTTATAATTTCTGTATCTGCATTTGCCGAAACAAACTACAGGCCGCTCAACATTATAAACTTTTGCAACATCTCAGTGTTCTATCTGAAAAAGAAAAAAAAAATGGAAAACTCTGGCTCTGTTAATGTAGCCAGCGCAAAACTTTTGCACAAAAAGCATTCACAATTATAAACTGTGGCATTGTTCTGCGTTCAACCGATATTCGAAACAGTTTCCAGAAAACCCGTTTACCACTTTTATCAACTGCTGCAGCTCGAACACAATGCGTTAAGGAAGCCCACGCCAAATCACAATAAACGTCTAGACGTTGGTAAACAACCAACAAAAGACTCTATAGAACTCTGCCAGGACAAAAAGCAAAAGTGCTTGGCCAAAAACTTTTGCAGCTGCATAAAATCTACATAATTGCCATTTGATTGTGCGCCCTGAGTGGGCGTGGCCGTAGAACTCTGAGACGCACTGGCCAAACTACTATTGCCCACCATTGATATTAGCATTTTGACCAAAGGCAAATTTGAATTGAATTGACTTGGCTAGAAATAAATTGAATAAATCTTTTATTATTAAATATGCATATTTCAAAATTACTTTGTTCAAAAACTATTCTTCAATTATATACAAATATTAATATTATTTGG